ATATATATATATATATATATATATATATATATACACGTGTAAATGTTCATGAGCTGTGTGACATGTTTCCTCCACAGTACATCAACCTCTCCAGCTACAAGTCATTCAGGGGCAGCCTCGCCAACAGCCCGACCAGCGTAAGCCCGCGTCCGCACGTCCTACTGGCCATCGCCCGCGACGGCAACAAGGAGACGCCGCCCAAAGTCCCGCCGCGCAAGGAGAGCATGAGCGTCCCTCCGGCGGCCAAACCCGAACTGCCCGTGCACCTGGTCAGCACCACCAACCAGGTGCACAAGGTGGCCGGCGTGGTGCAGCAGATCCCCACCAAGCTGGCCACCATCTCCAAGGGCAAGGACCGAGGCTTCCGTCTAAGGGCGGCGCATCAGAGGGCCCACAGCGCAGGTCATCTTCATCATCATCATCATCATTTCTATGTATTATCTATCATAACTGTCAATCACTGTATCGACTGCCCATCTAGTCATCTGTCCGTCTACCTACTGGACACATTTGACATCTCTGTGCTTGCAGCCTCCATCGACGTGAGCCAGGTCGTGCCCATCAGAGTGACGGGGAAGGAAGGAGGGAGTCTGAGGGCCGTCTCCCATTCGGGTACAGGTGTGTACGTGTACACATTTATTCATTCATTCAAGTGGCTGCGGATCTGGACCCCAGCTGAACTCTCATTTCCTTTTGCGATGTGTTTTATGTAGATGAATCATCTGGGCATGCCAGCAGCGTGAAAATATCACAGTCGTTCATGCACCCCCGAAGTGGTGCGGAGGCCCCGCCCCCAGTCCCACCCCCTTTCCCCAAGGAAGTGCTGGAGAAGCCGACGGAGAAGGTGATCTTCCTTTAATTCACGCCATTTTGGACTGAGGAGTGGAAAGACTGGAAGTCCTCTTTGAGGTACTGAACACAAATGTGTTTTTCTTAAAACATTTTTGCGTGAGATGAAGAGTTTAAAAACAAAACAAAAAAAAAAAGGAAAGCGCAGGAGCCATTTTGCACAGTGGAGAAAATATTATGCTCCATGTTATTCATGTTCTTACATTGCCAAATATTTTTTTTTGGACAAATGTATTTTTGATTGCAAATGAACACTGCATTTTAGGAGCTTTTTAATTTAATGGTGCATGGAAGCTACTGCAGAGGAGAGTTTAGAACAAGCACTGCTTTTGAATTAAAACAAACAAAAAAAACTGCTGCATATTGAAATAGTTGTGCCCTAGCTAATAGGCTATGGAATTATTTATAAAAAAATAAGGAAAAAGATTTTACTGTTTTATTGGTATTTGTTTTTTATGGTAGTTAATTTTATTAAATATTTTTGTTAAATGCATTTTTAAAAATCCAAAACAAAAAGAAAATAGATATTTTATTCTATTTGAAAAACATGAAATAAAGAAAGTACAATATTTGGAGATGCTTTTGTTTTTCTGTCTGAAATTCAATGAAACCTTTACATTTTTTTCTAAGTACTTGATTTGGTTGGATTATTAGCCAAAACAAAGGAAAATTGATGTTGCTGATTTATTTTTGAAAAACACCTAAAATATGAGAACATTTTAAAATCACAAAATATGGAGATATTTTTTTCTCTCTCTATTAAATTAGGGGCTTGTTTTGTTCCTTTTTTATCTGACAAACAACTGAAAACTTTGTTGATAAATTTTGTTTTTCAACCAAACAAAACGATGTCTAATTAATAAATTTTTTTTAATTAGTCTTTTGGATACATTTAAAAGATTTGTTTTAAGCCCAGAGTATTTTTTTTCTTACCCGGTAACTAAAATGTGGGATGTAAAGAAAACAAGAAAAAGATCAAAGATATTTCGGCAAAAAGCCTTTAGTGTTTATTTATTCAACTGCAAAAGTCAACGTTTCATTCTATGTTGTCCTCAATGGAGGCACTGAACACAACTGAAAGGAGTACATCGGTCTTAAGACCTATACAGTCGGGGGCGGGGTCACCAACTTTGGTCCTCGAGGGCCCGGATCCAGCGAGTTTTACAGGTCTCCCTCCTCAAAGACACCCGATTGATTATCATGCTTCTGATGAGCTAATCATTTGAATCGGGTGTGCTGGATTTTAGGAGGTATCGAAAACATTGTGGATGGGGGGGGGGACCAGGAGGACCAGAATTGGTGACCCCTGCTCCAGCATATATAGCACATCATATATACATCCGGAATATGTACATTAAAAACACAGAAATGATCTTGTATAGAATGAGTTGTGCAAATGTTTCATACAATCTAACTTGATCTCTTGTAACTTGAATGACTCCTGTGGGGATCCAAAGTGCTACATTTTTATTTATTTACTTTTAAAAAATGTTTGCTCCACCCAATATATCAAGTCTGCACTATAGGTTATAATTCATTTGTAATACTAGGTAGAGAATTCACACCACCGCATGCAAAACAAAACAAAAAATAATACATAGCAAAAAAGGAATTTAAATTAAAAAAAAAAAAAGCTTGGCTCAGTCGACAACCGTGATTGCACCAACTCACACTCGTGTCACGAGACGCATGAATGGCACCACAGCTGTTATGCTATAGTAGCAATTTCTATCCACAATTTGGGCTTTTGGTTTCTTATTCTAACTATCCCCCTGAAATTTTTCTCTGTATTTTGGATTAAAAATTAAAAGAAAAAATTGACTTTAGCATTTAAGAAAATTATTTCCTTGAAAAACATCCCAAAAAATAAAAATAAAAAATCTGATGATTTTTTCAGGTTGGATTTTTTTTTTCAAAATATCTTAACTTTCTTGGGGGGGGGGCAGTAATTGTTTTTAATTTAAAATTTAAAGAGCTGTGTTTTTTGTTGGACTTTCTTTTTCCCTGAAATACTGAAAATGTCTTTTTTTTTTTTAATCTAAAAACAACTCAAATCTTTTCTGGATACTGAACGTAATTCAGATGTGGAGATCCACGCTTTTTGTTGGACAGCAATGATACATGTGAGCTAATGCTGTCGTGAGCCAAGCGCTGGGGCGTGTCGGGCCTGGGCTAGGAACATATTCCCTCCTAGCTCTCATTCCCTTTAAAAAGTGAGGTAGCAACACACATTGCGGCGCCTCTTTCTCCTTTGTCCCTTTTAACGTCCACGTGTGTTGCAACACGATACGGAAAATAAACTTGAGACGGACACATGCGCTTTTAGTTGAGCTTTTCCTCGTGTTCAGCCAGGGGCATGTCCTGAGGCGGACCGGGGTCTTGGCCGTGATTGGCTGCGTCAGCGCCCGCTGACCCCTCGGGTTGGGTCCCCGCTGTTTGTGTACACTTGATGGGAGCGAGAGCTATGGCAGGCTGCGAGGGATACAAATGAAATGACCGTGACGTTCATGAATGAAGCCGTCACACATTACGAAGTCAACGCGCTCATTTCCAATCAAGAATAAATGATTGCTGTCCCATGAAAAGCATGTACCTCCAAGTTTATGTCATTCCTCAAAATGGTGGCATCTGCTGTCACTGTGGACCCCACTTATTTGTCAATCACTAGGATATCTATTCATGTTTTTCCCAACTGTCAATTTGAGTGAAATTTGCAGTCTGCTCTGTATTTTTGTTTCACGCAAAAAAATTATGAAAACAAACAGCAGCGCCGATAAAAGTTGTCTTTATGCTTCATTAAGAATTGACAAAATGGAGGCTCTGAATATCGCGGGAAAAAAAATTGAGTGTAAGGTAACAAAGCAGACAGAATACCTGCAGTGACACTGACAGACAGCTGAGCCCTCAGCAGCAGACTAGATAGAACCCCCCCCAAAAAAGAAACAAGCAGTTGGAATGTATAAAAAAATAAAATAAAAAAAGTTAACTTTATTCTATTTAGAGTGATTTTTCTTTCCTCGAGTCAAAAGTATTGTCTGTTGTTGCGCGCTTATATCAAACTGGTAGTCACCACAAATCCGCTGCCGGTCCAGAACTGAGAGAGCTCCCTTCGCCACAGCGCCACCGCCAGGCTGGTGAGCAGAGTGCAAGGCACCAGGTAGAGCAAGGCTGGCTGGCCCATCTGCATCAGGGCCAGCGCCACGAAAGTGATCATCAGGCCCACGCCGTACGCTAAATATAGCGGAGATGGGACTGTCGTTAAAAATAATAATAAAAATGGCCCTGTCATATGATGTATCGACTGGTAATTACGTACCAATCGTACAGGCCACAAAATAGATCCTGGAGGACTGTGTCAAAATGTCAAAGCGGTGGCAGTACACCACCAGCAAGCCTGGGGGAGAAGGGGAGAGAAAAAAAAAAAAATCAAACGATACCAATAGCAGGGTGTCCATGAATCCGAAGTTGATTTAGAATTGACAAATTCTGTTTTGAATTTTAAAAAATAGATAGTTTTATGACTTGAAAAGCAACTAAAATATATTTTTTTAATTCAAATTAAAAAAAAATAGGCAACGTATTTTTTAATCTACAGCTGTATGAATAATTTAAGATCTGAAACCCAATTATTACTGTTTCAGATTGACTTTGTATTTCGTATTGATTCGGATCGTAACCAACGAGACAGTTCACACCAAAAATTAAAAGTAAGAAAAAAAAATATATAGTGCTGTCAGTCTGTCGTGCGTCACTATCCGTGATACGGTAAGTAGTGTGGGTCACTTTGGTGAAGAGTTAGGCCTTGGTGGAGGTCTACAATTAGATTTAGGGGTGTCATTAAATCACCTGGCACCAGGATGTCGCCAAAGCCCAGCAGGGAGAAGGGCCGATCGCATAGGGCGAGGGGTGAGGAGTTCAAGCGCGGCACCTTGAGCACCATCGGAAGCTGCGGACCAAACCAGCAAAATCAAGCTCGGAATTTTTATATATATAGATATATATAAGCGTTAAAAAAACCATTGACCTTTTCGTGTGTGGCTGAGTCGGAAGGGCCTGCCGCCACCTCCACCATGATGCTCTCGCCGCTCTGCGCAGAGAAAAGGAACGCGTGACATGACCAACAGCTGAGAACGAGGTGGCATCCGTAAAGCTACCTTTGTAAAGAAGGGCGTGATGAACACGAAAAAGACGTCGTAGACGAAGAGCACCGTCAGTAGTAAAGTGCAAGCCTGCCGTAGAAGGAAGGAAAAAAATCTTCAGTGAATAGCTTGATGATATGTTGACGTTTGAGTACCTTAAATGTGGGCAGTCTGACAGTCTTGAGCATGTAGAGGCAGAAGGCGATACCCAGAGTGTCCTGCAGCAAATTAGCCCACCTGGACCACACACACACACACACACACACAGAAACAAAGCCTATGTCTGCTTTCTGCAAATCATGTGATAGCCGGTTGGTGAAGTCATATTCCAACTTCGCTTGGTTCTGCATAAAGGCGGTAATTCCTGTTACGTCCCCATCGGGGCATTACCCCCCGCCCACCTCACCCCTCCCCACTGGTCTGTGTATGAAAGTGTCTCTATACTCACTGGTCCTCATTGCGAAAGACCATCCAGGTGATGCTGACGCCCACGCAGAGTGCCGACAGCAGCAGGGCGCGCACCTGAGGACGCTTGTGCAAGTAGGGAAGGTTGTTCTCCGGAATTCTGCGTGGAGGGAAAAAGAAAGAAAAAAAAAAAAAGCCCATCTCACAACCACGCTTGTATCGGGCATCAGTGCTGATGCTGTACCTTTGTACATGATCTGCACTCCCTAATATCATGTGCACTAAGACCACATCAATCACCAGCATGAAATACTGTCTACCTTCTGGCTTGGAGTCATGTCAGCGGTGTTTGTGTGGCTTTAGAAACGGCTAACAATCAGTGTAGGTGCCTGCAACTTCCTTCTGCGGCGGCAGCGGAGACAGCCACCCTGCGAGTTGCCGTCTTGGCCACCGACCGGCAAGCAACGAGTTTCGTGCGGTGGCGGTGAGTTGCGATTCTTTTGGTGAGTACACAGTACAGGACTAAAAGTTGTATCGGTGCATACCTGCTAAAGATGCAGTCGCTTGGGACATTTTGTAAGTATCTTTGTAAACAGTGATGGGCATTTTCTGCATGTTGCGAAGCGGCGACTTGGTCCTCTATTTTGGGGTCATAGTTATGAGTATGTTTCAATTTTAAACTATTGACATAAGCAATTTTATTTCTTTATTATTTTGTTGTCTTGGTCGCGAACCCACACATAACATGTTTCATTGCATTTTGAGGGCGGCGTCCTTTGTCTCACCTGCACTTGCAGAAAGGAAAGCGGCGCACAAAAGGCCACAAGCAGCTGTAGAGCCCCACGGATGACGCCAGGCAGAAAATGGCTATCACCCAAATTGCTGCAACCAGGGCAAAAAAGATCAAATTGTGGAAGGACATCTATTGGGATGTACTTCATGGCTTGTTTCGTGTCTGCTTTTTTTTTTTTTTTTTTTTTACCCAGGCTGTCGTAGAAGAAGTAGAGCAGCACCAGCATGCTGCAGCACATGACCACAAACACACAGATCATGATGGGAGTCACATCCAGCGTCTCCTCGTCCTGCTTGTCCGCCCCATCGTCACGCTTGTGCTTCATGTAGCGCCTGCGTGTGGAAGGAGGGATCCAAGGTACATATTATGGGGGGGGAGAGCAGTTGATTTTCAGGTGATGCTGACCGCCACTTTAGTCGCTGAATTCTTCGACTGCTTTTGCGACCAATCCTCCCCGCCGCAACATCCACACTTACTTCTTGCGGTCTTTGCTGCCGGCCCAGTGGCCACCGACGGCGACGGTTCCCACAGCCATGAGGAAGATGATGACCATGTTATAGTCCAGCACCGGCTCTTTGGGAGCGTACATGGCCACCAGTCTACCCTTGGCAAACATCTACCACGCAAAACAGAATGAGTCAACTCGGGCGTGACGTCAAGTCTCATTTGTAAATGAGACTTGATGTTTTATTTTTTTGACTAGGTATGTTGCAATGATGCATGATGGAAGACTGGCTCTCACCTTGCTTATCTCCAGCATGTCAGAGTAGCTGAGCAGCGCGACGGGGATGTCAATCTCCTCGTACTGAGTCTTGTTTCCCGCTGGTGGCGTCTGAAATGAAGCCAAAGCAAATTGCCAGGCGCCGCATTCAATTGGAATCCTCCAATCTGATTGATGTTACCAGTCTGTCCTTGCTGACGATGAGCAGGCCCTTGGCGCCGTTCATCTGTGCCAGGCGGACCTTCTCGTAGAAGGTGCAGTTACCCCTCATCACCATGGCGATGCGGTTGGGGAAGCCGCCCTCCGGGACGTCGGCGGGCGAGCACAAGACCGATGTGGTCAGGTCGTAGATCTGGAGACGCGACTGCGAATACATGGGGAAACGCTGATGTTCGATCGCAGCGTATCAAAGCGATCCTCAATTACTCACCGCCTTGTTGAGGTCCTGAGGCAGACGTGCCCATTGCGAGTTAAAGAAGATGCAGTAGTCCTTCCCTTTGTTGTCATCGCTGAAATGAGCCATGCCATGTTCCGCTGCCACCTGTGTACGTGGGAGGACAAGAACAAAAAACGTGGTGCCTTGAGATCTGAGTCGTCCAACGTTTCAAGTTTTGCCAGATCCGAATTCAAACTTGAGATACGAACACTTTATGATGGCAGTGAACTCGACTTGTGTCACAACGGCCGCACTTTGGTAAAAACTCATATCCTTTGTCATATGTGTGTGTGGGTGTATATATTAGACAACTAATATTAGTGCTGTACTAAGGAGCTGGAAAAGGAGGTCAGACGATCGTACATTTCCCCACTCAAGCTCTAGGCAGTGCTGTACCTCTATTGGGAGGGCGAGGGGGGGGGGGATTTAAATAGATAAAAGGAATATATTTCAAGGAGAAAACAGGATTTGAGATACGAGTGTTTTGAGTTAAAAATGGTCGCGAAATGAATTCAACGCGTATCTCAAGGAGCCACTATTTGACCACGTTTGGCTATTATTCACCCAAAATGTCCGTTTACGTCGAAGTGACTCCTGGAAAACAACCTTGTACCCTCACGGGCCACATTGTTAGGTACACTAAATGTGTCTCAACAGCCCAACCAAGACTTAAGAGATATTTTATCTTTTAGAATTGCAGGCTGATGTTATGAAATGAGTGATTCATATTAGCATTTGTGCTAGTAACAAAAGGTAGTGATGGAACACATGGACACCCCTCAATAGCCCCCTCGCGTAGGTGAGGGGAAAAAATTCAACATGACTGGACAACCAGAAGGCCGTGTGGCATGAATCAGCTCACAGAAATTGACTCGAATGTCGGTAAATGTCAAATTTCATTTCGCCGCAGAGGCGACTCTTAGCTCGGATGCTAGCGGCGTTAGCTAGCCACTACCACCCAAAATGACTTAATTGCTAACATGCATTTAAAACATCGCTTAACACGGTTACAATGGCGCTGACAGGATGCTACGAAGTTGTCAACTGGTGTCAGACTTGACTAAGCGAGTAGCAAAAATGCGAATCTTGCGTTATTTTATTTTTTGATCAACGATGATGTGGTTAGATAAATGTTCGTCGCCGGGCACAAGGAAAAAAACACAAAGCCCACCGGTGGGGAGGAGTGATGTTTGGTAGGAAAAAAAAAAGTCGGCGTAAGTGTCGCCCACCCACCTGGTGGATGACTAAAAGAGCGGCCCAGATCATTGTTCCGAGGCCGGGGACCGTCATCGTGAGGCCGGGCAGCTATGTTGTTGTTCTGACCCCCATCCAACGGAAAGCAGGGAAGTGAACACCCCACCACCAGCTGTCCCGAAGACACGCCCATTGAATGACGCCCCACCCGGAAATGTTTCCTGGTACAGTTCACAAGGATTAAATACAATTAATTACTGTACATGCTACAGTTCTCAAGGATTAAATACAATGAATCAATTAATTTAAGAAAATACACCGCCTTTTAGTTAACAACTTATTACAGTTTATAGTTTTCTAAGTGATTAAAAAAAATAAAGGATCGCCTTTTTTGTACATCAATTTATTAAAATGTGCAGTAAGCACTTGTCCCATATATTTATGCATTCATATCGCTCATGCCTTACACTCGGTATCAGTCCCTGGTGGTCTAGTGGTTAGGATTCGGCGCTCTCACCGCCGCGGCCCGGGTTCGATTCCCGGTCAGGGAACTAGCTTTTTGCGCATGTTTTTAACATGACAATGTGGAACTTAATGGTACATTTGTTATTAAATTCGACAATGTCTTTCAGAGTATGGTCTGTCTTTCTATTGGTTATGTTGTAGAAAAATCTAATCTGTGCGTCATACGTACAGTATTGCTTTCGAAGTTTAGCGTCGCGGGCACCGCTTGACTCACTGCGGCGTTAAAACTGCGGATGACATCATTCCATATGTTTTCCCTTCTGGCAGTCATACCTGCATTGGTTTCTTACAGCAACGCCGGAACTTGGCAGAAATCATCCTTCGGAACAAGATACTTTATGAGGAAAATTAAGAAAAAATAAATGTTAAGATAAAACTCCGATGTATTTAATAATTTAATTAACTTCCCATTTGTATGAGTATTATTGAAGGCATTCCTCCGCTGTTCTCGCTCCGACTACCTTAACGAGGACTTTTATTCTGACAAGTCGTAACGGAAGTTCAGTGACTGTATCACTCGCCCGGTTATACTTCAACTCACACAGTCAGTTAATTTGATCGGAATGCAGCACTACTAACCCAATACAAACGTAAGTATCTCCTCGAAAATAACTTTGGGTGGGTTAAATTCCATCCCAAACTTTACTTTATTGAGCGTTTTTCAATGACCGCCAATCGGTGCTTTTCAGCGGCTCCTTCAAGCTAGCTGGTCAGCTAAGCTAACTACCGTCTTGAGTCCCGACTGTTTCTTTTTGTTTTTTCTCAACCCCCACTCCATAACCAGCACCGCCACCACAAAAAGAGGTTTGTAATTCGAATATTACTTGTTTTCCTCTAATTTCCATGATGCTTTTGCTTCACGCGTACGTGCTATTTTTATGTTTATCCGTTCCTATCCTAAAGTCACAATACTATGTCCAATCCAAATTTGCGAGTCACTGTCATTCTTGTGTTCAATCAAAGCTCCTTTTCAGTCTCAGTTTTCCGTTTGTAGAAAATAGTTCAAATGTCCGTATAGTAGTCCATTTAACTGAGACTGATTGGCAAGGAGATGATGTAAGTAGGACTGGAATGCAGGGGGCTCGCTGACATCATCTTCAATACTGCTGGCCAAATAAGGAGGAAAGAAACGAAAGAACACGTGATGTCAATTTGGATGTTGTTGCCTCGAGCCAGCTCTTTTCTTTTAAGTATGTAATCACGTCTTTGCAGTGTAACACACAACTGACACACGCAAAGAAAGGCAGCCGGGCCAGCAGCATTGGTGTAGCCGACACGTCATGGCTGGCTTCAGGCAAGAGGATGTGGAGCTGCACTATGAGATGGGAGAGGAGCTGGGCAGGTATGCTGTTCGGATCTTGTGTGTGTGTGTGTGTGTGTGTGTGTGTGTGTGTGTGTGCGTGCGTGCGTGCGCACTTCTTATCCTCTTATACTCTTCTGTTGTGGCATTCTTCTTCTTCTTCTTCTCCTTTCGGCACGTCCCTATTCAGGGGTCGCCACAGCGAGTCAGTAATTTCCATCCGCCCCTGTAAACCGTCCTACCAACTCGCATGGTCGTCTTGGCAAAAGTTTTACGCCGGATGCCATTCCTGACGCAACCCTCCCCATTTCTCCGGGCCTGGGACCGACACTGGGGAACAGTGCACCCCCAGGGGAGGGCACTGCCCCCCAGTGGCTGGGTTTGTGGTGGCATTATACATGAAAAAAAAAACATACACACACTGCTGTTGCCTTCTCCCCTCAGCGGTCAGTTTGCCATTGTGCGCAAGTGCAAGGAGAAGAGCTCGGGCAGCGAGTACGCCGCCAAGTTCATCAAGAAGCGCCGCCTGTCGTCCAGCCGGCGGGGCGTGAGCCGCGAGGAGATCGAGCGCGAGGTCAACATCCTGCGCGAGATCCAGCACAGTAACATCATCACGCTGCACGACATCTTCGAGAACAAGACTGATGTCATCCTCATCCTGGAGCTGGTGTCCGGCGGTGAGCTCTTTGACTTTCTCGCCGAGAAGGAGTCTCTGAGCGAGGAGGAAGCCACGCAGTTCCTCAAGCAGATCTTGGACGGTGTGCACTACCTGCACTCCAAGCGCATCGCACACTTCGACCTCAAGGTACGGACACTCGGCACTTTATTGGGCGACACTTGCGTCATCCAACTGCTCGCCAGCCAATCGCAAGGCACCAATAGCAAGCATTCACAATCACGTCGATGGAGAATTAACAAAAGGAACATTTCGAAACAACTCAAAACTGCCTCGTTAACTTTTCCAAACTAACTTTAAAGGATATCCAGCCTCATAATTCTTGAATAAGCAGGGGTTTACTGCATAGATGCAGTTGCATCTGTGCGGTCTCTCTGCACTTGTATGACTGTCATGTAAAACATTGGCCGTGCTGTGGACGAACGCTGAGCGTTGTTGCTGTGTTGCGTTGCAGCCTGAGAACATAATGCTGCTGGACAAGAATGTTCCCAATCCCAGGATAAAGCTCATCGACTTTGGCATCGCCCATCAGATCAAAGCCGGCAATGAGTTCAAGAACATTTTCGGAACGCCCGAGTTCGTAGGTGGGTTTAGCGGCTCAATAACCCCCCCCCCCCCCTCCTCCCAACGTGTTGAGTTTCTTGCCGAGTGAGCGACTTTGTGCGGTCTCCACATCTGCTTCACATTGACATCTTGGTTCCTCCGTGCTTTGCAGCTCCAGAAATAGTCAACTATGAACCGCTGGGACTGGAGGCCGACATGTGGTAAGACAACAACCTGCTTTGCTCTGTGACTCCGCGCCTCACCGTACACATTCCCATCCATGAAGACATTTGCGTTGCTCTTCTTGTAAGAGGACACGTTGACGGGATTTACAGTAGGCTGGTTTTCACCCGCATACGTTTTATGGGGTTCACAGCAGTTTTATTTCAAGGCAGCACAATTTCAACGACATTTATGGTGGTCGTATTTTATCCTGTGTGACTTGGATATGCACGTAGATAAGACGGGGGCCACCCAGGTCGAGCCAGCATCAGCGAACTTCAGGTGGCCCGACACAGTCATGTTTTGGCCCTGGGCCATTGGGCCACCGGCATTGTCGGACCCTGTTTTATAGGACTTTTGGTCGTTTTACTTCAACATGTGCAACTTTTATGGCGTTGATGGTACGCCTATTAAATCCCGTGCTTTAAATATGTACACATGTTTAGGATTTAGGGTTGTCTGTCTTTGAACATTGGGATTGGTTCTGTATATTTTATTGATGTATTTTAACTCGTCTTATGTGATTCTGTGCATCTTTGGGATTTAAGGTAGACTTTTAAACCCACACGCGCATTGTGAGGATTCCCATGTGACATTCTCAAGCCATCTTTTCTTTTTTCTGTGCAGGAGTATCGGCGTCATCACGTACATTTTGTAAGTGTCGTCGTATCCCACAAGGCGAACATGCGAACAAGCATTCAACCGCTTCACTCTGTCATCCTCTAAAGCGTCCAACGTTTCCCGGCAGGTTGAGCGGCGCTTCTCCGTTTCTGGGTGAGACAAAGCAGGAGACACTGACCAACATCTCAGCGGTCAACTACGACTTTGACGAGGAATACTTCAGCAACACCAGCGAATTGGCCAAAGATTTCATACGACGCCTGCTGGTCAAAGATCCCAAGTAGCAGACCAAATCAATCTCTTTGTTTCTTCACGTTTCATTGCTGTCTTTTTCTGACTTGACTTTCCGTTGCAGGAAGAGAATGACCATTGATGACAGTCTTCAACATCCATGGATTAAGGTGATGTACCATCTTCCTTCACTGCTGTGGACCACTGTTGGAAATATATATGACTAATATTAGAGAGCGAGAGGGAGACTCTAAATACGGTAGCGACGGTAACCCTCCCCATCGTTATTGTAAATGTTATCGCAAACATAACATAACCTTTATTTGTCCCACACACTGGGGAAATTTGCAGTCTACAGCAGCAAAATTGGTGGTGGGGAAGGGAGAAAAAATAAAGTGTTTCACTGCACCTCATTGCATCATCCCAGGTTTACCGTTTTATCCCTCCTGATACAAGATGAGATTGTGATAGGAGTTTACAACCGACTGACATTGCTGCTTTGGCGTTGTCCAGGTGATCAAGCGGCGCAACGTGCGCCAGGAGGACCACGAGCACAAGCCGGAGCGCCGGCGTCTGAAGACCACGCGTCTGAAGGAGTACACCATCAAGTCGCACTCCAGCATGCCGCCCAACAACACCTACGTCAACTTCGAGCGCTTCTCGCAGGTCCTGGAGGAGATCGCGGCGGCCGAGCAGGGCCTGCGCCAGCTGGAGCGCAACCGGCGCTCTTGCCGCGACGACGTGGCCGCGCTTCTGTCCATCTACGAGGAAAAAGAGGGCTGGTACAAGGAGGAGAGCCGCGGCATCTCGGGCCAGCTGGGCACCGTCCGCCAGGAGCTGCAGCGCACGCAGGCGCAGCGCAAGAAGAGCCAGGAGGATGCGCGCGGAGCTGCGCAGGCCGCTGGCGCGCTCAAGCGCAAGTTCGGACGCCTGGAGAACCGCTACGAGGCTCTGGCCGAGCAGGTGGCGCACGAGGTGCGCTGGGTGGAAGAGCTGGTGCGCTCGATAGCCGTAGACAAGGACCGGCAAGAGAGCGCACCTTGAGGTTGCGCGTCAATGCACTCCTCACCTTTAA